AGTTTTAGAATTTTCAGGAAGGGTGTTCCAGATTTTAGGGCCTTTGACATACGTACATTGAATTTTTGTAAAGGTTTAGTCGGACACGGGGAATGTCATAGAGATGTTTGTGTCTGGTGTTGTGCCTGTGGGTTCTGTCGCAACTATCAAGAAAGCGTTTTAGGTCAAGGTTAATATTGGAATTTAAGGTCCTGTAGATGTAGATTGCACAGTAGTAAGTGTGGATGTACTGAACAGGGAGTAAGTTTAGAATCTAGGGAGAGTGGGGGGAGGATGGGTTAGGTTATTCTTACTGCGCTTTTTTTTTTGGTGGGGTTGCTGCAGTTGAACCCAAGCACAGATAGCATAGGTGAGGTATGGATATATAAGTGAATGGTATAGTGTGAGAAGGGCAGTTTGCGGCACGTAGTATCGTATCTTGGAGAGGATCCAACCGTTTTGGATACTTTTTGGTTATGTGTTGGATATGGGTGCTGAAGTTCAGGTTGTTGTCGAGGTATAGGCCTAGGAATTTGCCCTCATTATGCCTGGCAATTAGAGTGTTGTTGATCTTAATGTTAATTTGCGCATCTCCTGCTCTGCTACCAAACAAATGTAGTAGGTTTTGTCAGTGTTAAGCGTAAGTTTATTGACTGTCATCCAAGTCGATATTTTGATCAGCTCCTCATTAACAATGGTGTTGAGGGTGGCAAGATTAGGGTGAGAGATGACATAAGTCGTGTCGTCAGCAAAGAGAATGGGGTTCAGGTGTTGAGATACGTTTGGAAGATCATTGATGTATATGAGGAAGAGCAGGGGACCAAGGACACTTCCCTGCAGGAACTCCAGTATCAAGTGGCTGTGTTGTTGATGCTGTGTCTTTAATGGTGACATACTGATACCTATTAGTAAGGTAAGATTTGAAATATGCAAACGCATGGCCTCTTATACCATAATGGTCAAGTTTGTGGAGTAGGATGCCGTGGTTCTACTGTGTCAAAAGCTTTTCTTAGGTCAATAAAAATTCCTAGTGGATATTCCTTATTTTCCAATGCTGTGTAAAGCAGATCTAGCGTTTTTATGATTGCATCATTAGTGCTTTATTTTTCCTGAATCCAAACTGGCAGGGTTGAGTATGTTTTGTGCCGTTATAAATGAATATAGTCTCCTGTGCACTGAGTTTCTCAAAGATTTTGGATAGCAGTGGTAAGTTTGATATTGGCCTATAGTTGTTTAAATCTGTAGGGTCCCCCACCTTTATGTATTGGTGTAACCCTTGCCGTCTTGAGTAGTTTCGGGAAGGTGCTAGTTTCTAGTGACTTGTTAAAAAGTAATGAGATAGCATGCGAGAGGACATGGGCCGCTCTCTTGTACAATAATGGTGGGACATGAGACAGATTCCCTGAGTTATTTTTAAGTGACTTTATAATCTCGGTGACTTCCATGGGCTCAGTTGGAGCAAGATAGAAGGAATTTGGGAAATTCCCATCTAGGTAGTCCCCGGCATGGGCATTGGTGCGTGGGATTTTATTGGCGAGATTAGAACCTATGGTTGAGAAGAAGTCGTTTATCTTGTTAGCTGTGTCAGTGGGATGCAGTGGTGTTTCATTAGGTTTAGTTAGGGCAATATTCTTGGTTTTTTTCAGTTTGTGGGTCCCTAGAATCTGAGAAAGTGTTTTCCATGTCTTTTTTATATCTCCTCTTGTGTCAGTGAATCTACTGGAGTAGTACAGCTGTTTGGCTTTCTTTATTACTTTGGTGAGGACTGATGAATAGTGTTTAAGAATATCTTTGTGTGTTAAACCCTGTCTATATTGCTTTTCATATTGGCATTTCTTATCAATGGATTTCAGAATGGTGCTGGTTAGCCATGGGCAACCAAGCTGTTTGTTTGTGATCTGTTTCGTTTTCATAGGACAATGTTTGTTGTATAGTCTAAGTAATTTGTTAAGAAAAATGTCTGTCCAGTCATCAATACCATTGGCCTTGAAGAATTCTGTAGGCCAGTCAACAGTCTCTAGGTCAGCTGTGAACTTCCTTATTGAGGCCTCATCATGGAGTCTAAATGAAACTTTGTTGTATTCAAGTGGTGGTTTACTAATGTTTGTCAAGAGGAAGGTAGGGTAGTGGTCTGTAGTGCTATCTGTGATTATCCCTGATTTAAGGGGGGCTAGTATATTGGTCCATATGTGGTCTATTATGGTTGCACTTGTTTCAGTGAGCCTGGTTGGTTTAGTTATTGTTGGTATGAGAAGCGTGTTGTTCATATTGTTGATGAAATCAGTTACAGGCTGATCATCTAGTAGGCCAAGGTTGATGTTGAAGTCTCCAGCAAAGAGAAGGTGGTGCTTATTCATTTGTCTGTTTGTTATTAGTGCCTTTCGTTTCTCACTGAAATTTGGGATGTTTGTGTGGGGTATCCGGTAAATGGCACCGATTGTAATAGGCGTCTTAAGGTTTTTTACAGTAAAATTAGCAAAAATGTATTCTCCATATTCATCACTAAAGCAAGTGGTGCTAATACAAGATAATAGGTTAGAGTAATAGATTGCAATACCACCCCCAACTTGGTATGGTCTGCAGTTGTGGATTGCTGTGTATCCTGGTAGAGGGTAGATATCTATTGTGTCCTGCTTAAGCCAGGTCTCAGTAAGAATAATGCAGGAGAAGGGTGTCTTTAGTGATTCAAGGAGTGCTAGGAGGTCATCATAGTGTTTGCTTAAGGACCTAATGTTGTAGTTAAGTACTGATAGACTCAGGAGACTTGTTATCACTGGATTATTTCAGAGATATGATTAAACTCAACAGTCACAACAGACATGGGAATAAATGAAAATCTACATAATCTGCATCTGAGTGCAGTGGCAAGTGTAAGATTAAGAAAAATTATACAAGAAGGGGGTAAAAGGCACGACACAATGTGGGCAGATGTTAAGCGGACAAATGAAAGAGGTCACATCCTATCAGGTACATGCTAAACAGGTGTCTACCAATCTGTTGGCTAGCTATTGATGGTTTAGGAGATCACAACCTTTGTGGTCCAGTCTTAAATCAATCCTCCTGACTGATTTATCAGGCTGCTGGAGCTTGTGGTGCAGTCAGACACAGGCAACACAGCCCAGCTGATCAAGAAGGGAGTTGGAGCAATTGTCAATATCTTTCCTGAAGATAGGCTCCAGTCAATTATCTAAGTACTGCTCACTTATGTGCTTCATGTGCATTCTATTCTTCTGCAATCACATTTTCTGTCTTGTCAATTAACCAACAGACTTATTTTTCTATGTTTTTTGTTCTTTTGCCTTCTTATTTTCTGTACACAGCCACTATAAGCTGTGAAAGTCCTTAGGTTATCTGTAGTAGATTCCAAATATCACCACCCCCATAGCCTAATCTCTTTTTTACATCCAATGGACAACAACAACAACTTATTTCAACACTTTTTCCAACAAGTTTTAGCTTTTCAAACTTAACACCTACTCCTGCTCCTTTTTCCCCATATTCAGCTTTTTTACTGATTTAATCACTCACTTCTTCCCTTCACTCAAGCATCAAATGTGTCTTCATTTCATAATACACCTGCAACCAATTCATCGAGTTTTTCTACCCACACAGCCCTGCTTGGAGTGGGACTTTCCTGTCAACTGCTTGTTCAACCAAGCTCTTGCTTTTGGTGGCTTGTTGGCTCACATAGCCATCAAGTCCTTGTTGACCTGGTACTTCACAGAGGTAGTTGTCCAGTTTCCTCTTGAAAACTTCCACACATAATCCAGTAATAATTCTGATATCTGCTGGTAGGAGGTTGAAGTCTTGGCCCATGTACTTTGACAGTATTCTCTTACTATACCTATGGCACCCCTGCACCTCTCTCTCACTCCAGGCCCTCAAGTACCTTCCATATATAGTATTATATCATCAGGTATCTATTTTTTTTTTTGCTGTAGAGAATATATTATAAGTATTTTGTGGAGTTCCCAGTAGTTCAAATACTTTATTGGCTTTATGAGAACAGTGAATTATTTCTATATCTTTTCCAGCTCTATTTCTCCTGCCTCCAAAGGAACCATTAATACCAAACAAAATAACACAAGTGTATTTGAATATGTCACCATTCGGCATTATGTCTCATTTTGAAAGTTCTCAGCATCCACCCTGCAATTTTTCTGGCCTTCTTGGCATTTACCTAATTCTTCTCTTCTTCTTTCAACAAACTGGCTGTATCCCACTGAAGCAGGGTGGCCCAAAAAGAAAAACAAGTTTCTCTTTTTAATTTTAGTAATGTATACAGCAAAAGAGGTTACTCGCCCTTTGCTCCCAGCATTTTAGTCACATTTGCCTAATTATACATGTATTCTCTAAATGATAACTCGTCTGACATTATTAAACCCAAGTCTTTTACATGTTTTATTTTTTGAGCTATGAGATGGTCCTTCTGTGCTTTGTATCTGGTACACTTTTAGAGTTCATCATCATTTCTGTGTGTGAGCAGTTAGAATTTGTCCAGTAAACATCTTATTTTCTACTGCCCACTGGAACTCTGCTCATACAGTATCTGTTTGCAATTTTTCAGTCTTTCATTGAGATGACTTTTGGTAAAGATGGGCTATAATTTTATTTATCAGTGCTTGCCACAAGGATGAGAAATAGTTTCTCTATGCCTTTAATTTTTTCCCAAGAATTCACTTTCTTTATATGTAAGTTTTTAAGAATGTTTCATCAGGCAATACAGGATGTATAATTCTTTTGACATGTTTTAAGTGCATCTTCATGTCTTCTAAAACTTGAAATATCTGGGTAAAGTTGTTAATATGGCTAGGCTACTCTATTACGATTAAGGAGTTACTAAAGAGGGAATGTGGCATTAAAGATTTAAAGACCATCTATGCAAAAAAGTATACACAAGAGTTTGAGTGAAGATGACAGATCACTGTGTACTAAAGATAAAAAATATCTATTATTGGGAGCAAAGTAATTAAAAAAAAAATATTTATATAAAAAACACAAGCAATCATAAAAAAGCTTACCTATTAGTACTAGCTGCATTCTGATTCTTTAGAGCTGACAAAACACTTGCCAGGTCTGAAGATATGTTGATGCTGTCCAAATTGATGGTAGGGAAGACAGGCTTGTGTGGTGGTGTGGTGGAAGGTGTGCCTGGAGGACTGTTCCCTTGTCTACTTGAAGATGTGAAACTGCTACCAGATGCAGGTGTGGTCCATGCTTGTGGAGGTAATGGGGGTGTCCTACTTGGAGACAAGTTGCTTACTGCATGAGAACCCTATAAAGAAAAAATACAGCCATTTTTGAGGTTCCAAAAATTGATACTGGACATGAGCTTTATTTTCTGCCTCTTTTTTTATTATTATTTATAAAGCACTAGAACTATTTGGATATTTAGTACTTTCAATATAAGTAGTTGCTAACATTATCGATTTGTTACTATCATTACCAATTTGCTATTATCATAACTACTGTACTTAGTTGGTAGAAAAGGATGTGAGCCAACAGACGAAAGATAAACATTACAAATCAGCAAAACACTGTCATAATAAAGGCTTCTTCTAGGGCGGAAGGCTGGAAGGAAGGCTAGTGGGTCAGATGAGAAGCAGGGAAAAGGAAAGGAGGGTCTAGGCGAGCCATTGAATCGTGGAAAAATGGGAGGCAGATGATTGGGTGGATTACTGCCCAAGCAATAGCAGTATGTGAGGCAAATATGGTATCACTGACACTAATTCACTGGACAGCTTTACAAACAGATTAGACAAATACATGAATGGTAAATTTTGGGTACGCTAATTAAGGACTAGCCTAGCACGAACCAGTAGCCATTCTGCAGTGCTTCTCTATTTTTATGTTCTTAAGAACAGAAGAGCACTACAGTACGTCCTCTTCCCATCTAACCATTCCCACTTATTTACTTGTCTAATCTGTTTTTAAAACTACCCAAAGCACTTACTGTAATGGTATTCATTTATACAAAATACAATATACAGAAATATACAATAAACCCTTGGATATGTCACCCCAATTTTTCAAAACTCAAGGGTACAAGTGCACTAATTTGCAAAGGGATTGAGAGTGACAAGTGATGGGTAAGCTGTGGACAAGTCCCCCGCTACACCACAATAAACCTAACAGGTAAGGCCATCATTGTTTTTAGAGAAGGCTTGTCACAACCCTTTGTCATTAGCCAACTGCTGCCAACAGTTGCCTTCTGGAAATGAGAGTTGATTGACCCAGTTTGCTAACTGAATGATTTTGGATATTTATCATCATATAAATAATATACAATACCAACAACAGTTGGGTACCTTTGTAAAAAGTTTCACCTTCTCAGCAGGCTTCTTCAGTCAAATACGTAGGTGACAAATGTTGGAGACGTCAGAAGCAGTGAAGAGGTAAATACATGATAGATCAATTTAAATTTATACATGTATAATATCAATTAAAATCTCCATGGGAAAGTGGAACAACTTTTTCCTCCATAAGCCATGAGTGCCATAAGAGGTGACTAAAATACCAGGAGCAAGGGGCTAGAAACCCTTTCTCTTGTACACATTACTAAAGTAAAAAAGGGAAATTTTTGTATTTCTTTTTGGCCCACCCTGCTTCGGTGGGATACGGCCAGTGCACTGAAAAAATTAAGATCAATTAAAATGAATTCTTCCTCTGTAAGCCATGTGTGTCATAAGAGGCGACTAAAATGATGGGAGCAAAGGGGCTAGTAACCTCTTCTCCCGTATAAATTACTAAGTCTAACAAGAAAAACTTTGGTTTTTCTTTGTAGGTCACCCTCCCTCAGTAGGATATGGCAGGTTCATTGGAAATAAATAAAAAATAAATTATATGCTTTTTTGTTATGTTCAGACTGATTTTTGTACATTTACGGAAGTAAAAATAATTTTGAGGTGGGTGGTCAGTCCCTCAGCCTTGAGAGTTTTTCAGCTCCAAGGCCTCAATCAAGGCTCATCACAGCTGCAAAGGTTGGTGGATGATTTGGGAGGGTAGGTAAAAGAAGGAAACTAAAAGTGAATATGGGAAAGTGTAAAGTGATGAAAGTAACAAAAAAATCTAGGTGGGAGGTAGCATGGAGGAAGTAAATCATCATCTTTTAACAAACCGGCCGTATCCCTCCGAGGCAAGGTGGCCCAAAAGAAAAAAACGAAAGTTTCTCCTTTTAAATTTAGGAGAAGGGGTTACTAGCCCCTTGCTCCCGGCATTTTAGTCGCCTCTTACAACACGCATGGCTTACAGAGGAAGAATTCTGTTCCACTTCCCACGGAGATAAGAGGAAATACAGAAGAACAAGAACTAGTAAGAAGATGGAAGAAAACCCAGAGGAGTGTGTGTGTATATATATATGCTTATACATGCATCTGGTAGTGTGACCTAAGTGTAAGCAGAAGTAGCAAGATATACCTGCTATCCCACGTGTTTATGAACCAGAAAAAAAGACACCAGCAATCCTACCATCGTGTAAAATAATTACAGGCCTCTGTTTTACACTCACATGGCAGGATGGTAGTACCTCCCTGGGTGGTTGATGTCTAACAACCTACTACCTAGAGGAAGCAAATTTTTTTTTCAATAAGTCGGCCATCTTCCACTGAGGAGGGGTGGCCCAAAAAGAAAAAAAATCCCCAAAAAGAAAATACTTTCATCATCATTCAACATTTTCACCTCCTCATACATAATCAATGTCTTTGCAGAGGTGCCCAGATACAACAGTTTAGAAGCATATAGTATAGTGGAACCTCAAAATTCGAACTGCTCCCAACACAACCAATTATGTAAGTGTATTTTTGTAAGTGCTTTTATAAGTGTATTTTTGAGGGTCTGAAACGGACTAATCTAATTTACATTATTCCTGATGGGAATAAATTCATTCGGTAAAGGCACTCGAACAGCCTTCTGGACCGAAAAAAGTTTGATATTTGAGGTTCCACTGTATAACATACCCCTGCAAACTGCCAATATTACAAACCCCTCCTTTAAAGTGCAGGCATTGTACTTATCATTTCCAGTACTGAAGTCCGGCTATATAAAAATATGTAACCGGTTTCCATGAATCCCTTCACTAAATATTACCCTACTCACACTCCAACAGCTCATCAGGTCCCAAAAACCATTCGTCTCCATTCATTTCTATCTAACATGCTCACACATGTTTTCTGTTAGTCCAAGCCCCTCACCCACAAAACCTCCTTTACCCCTCCCTCCAACTTTTTCGAGGACAACCCCTACACCGCCTTCCTTCCCCCTACAGATTTATACAATCTCCAAGTTATTCTACTTTGATCCATTCTCTCTAAATGACCAAACCACCTCAACAACCCCTCTTCTCCACACCTCCAAATTTCCACACTCCGAATTCTCTGCATACTATTTACACCACACATTGCCTTTAGACAGGACATCTCTACTGGCTCCAGCTGCCTCCTTGCTGCAGAATTTGCAACCCAAGCTTCACACCCATATAAGAGTGTTGGTACCACTATACTTTCATACAATCCCTTCTTTGCCTCCATGGATAACATTTTTTGCCTCTACAAATACCTCAACACACCGCTCACCTTTTTTTCCCTCATAATTCTATGGTTAACCTCATCCTTCATAAGCCCATCCACTGACAAGTCAACTTCCAAATATCTGAAAACATTAACTTCTGCCATACTCCTTCTCTCCAATGTGATATCCAATTTTTCTTTATCTAAATCATTTGATACCCTTATCACCTTACTCTAATCTATGTTGACTTTCAACTTTCTACCTTTACACACCCTCCCAAACTCATCTACAAACCTTTGCAACTTTCCTTTAGAATCTCCCATAAGCACAGTATCATCAGCAAAAAGTAACTGTGTCAACTCCCATTTTGTATTTGATTCCCCATAATTTAATCCCACCCCTCTCCCCAACACCCTAGCATTTACTTCTTTTACAACCCCAACTATAAATATATTAAACAACCACAGTGACATTACACATCCCTGTCTAAGACCTAATTTTACTGTGAAGTAGTCTCCCTCTCTCCTACTCACCTTAACCTGAGCCTCACTATCCTCATAAAAACTCTTTACAGTATTTAGTAACTTACCACCTATTCCATATACTTGCAACATCTGCCACATTGCTCCCCTATCCACTCTATCATGTGCCTTTTCTAAATCCTTAAATAAAATGAAAACTTCCCTACCTTTACCTAAATACTGTTCACATACATGCTTCAATGTAAACACTTTAGCTACACATCCCCTACCCACTTTAAAGTATCCTTGCTCATCTGCAATCCTACTCACTGTCTTATCTCTAAATCTTTCAATAATAACCCTACCATACACTTTTCCTGGTATACTCAGTAAACTTATTCCCCTATAATTTTTACAATCTCTTTTGTCCCCCTTCCTTTTATATAAAGGAATTATACAGTAGGGCCCCACTTATACGGCTGGTTAGGTTCCAGGCTGTCGCCGGAAAGCAGACATCGCCGGAAGGCAGAACGCCATTTTTTCCATTTATAAATGCATATAAATGCCAGACAACAAGTTTACACTAAATTATATTAAGTTAGTAATAGAACTAGGCATTAAAAACACACAAAGTAAAATACATTCACAGTAAATTCATTACTTATCTTAAAGTATTTGTAATCTTAATGTAGGGAGAGAGGTGAGTAGTACTTATTTGTAGGAAGTCAGGTGTAGGTAGCACTGGCTCCCCGTCTCATACTTAATATACGATATTTAAAACATCCCAGAGAGTTAAAATACACATACAGTACACTCACTATTTACCTTAAAATATGTGTAGTCTTAATATAGGGAGAGAGGTGAGTAGTATTTATTTGTAGGAAGTCAGTGTAGGTAGCCGGTAGGTGTAGCCCGCCTGGGCTACACCTACTGGCTACCTACACTGTGGCCCAGAGCCATATTATTAACATCAACATACCTTGTTCACTGAATTTAATTGTTTCTGACAACTACCTTTAGATGCCATCATAAACTAAGGGAGAAGTAATAAATAATTCATGCCAAAAATTGTAAACAAAAGCAGAGTGGGGGAGTGGCTGGGCCAAACGCAGATTCATATATGTTTTCTCTGATGGCTGAGCAGAGAAAACGTAATGTTGTCCTTCCACCCGGCTACCACGCAGGTCCACAAGTATTATTATCAGAGCACATATAAAATATGCAATAAATGCCAGACAACAAGTTTACACTAACTTATATTAGTTAGCAATAGAAATAGGCATTAAAAACACAATAAAAGGTAAGATAC